AAAGTAGAGAACTGATTTCTGTAAAAGTCAGGGTAGTGGTTACCTCTGATAGAAGAGAGGGTGGAGGTCATGATTGGGAAGGAGCATGAGGGGGCTTCGGGTGACGAACTATTTCTTGTAACTACCTGGGAGGTAGTTACATGGCTTTTTACTTTATTATTATTTAAAAAAATATTTTTATTGATTTCAGACAGGAATGGAGAGGGAGAGTGTAGGGAGCGGCTATGGGGACAAGCCTTGGACTGACCTGTGACAAACAAGTCCCAGCTTGGAGGGCAAAGCCCTCCTAGCATAATTAAGCTTGACCTTATAGTCCTCCCCTGTTCCTAGGTAGCTAATGGGCTGTGGGAGGTGTAGCAACTGCTGCCAAAACAAGGTGAAACTCACAAGAACATTGTAAACATGTTGACCACTTCTCTTGTTTTGCTTTGTGTGCTCTGACTATAAAATAAAGCTTCAGCTTGCAGGCTGGGTCACTGTTTCCTCATCCAGGCACAGTGATCTGACCTAGCCCCAGCTGTATTCTCTTGTCTATCTTCTTTAATCCTTCACTGCCCCTCTTCAGTTCACCCTTGGCCGTGCTGGCACAGCACAGGAGAGAAAGATAGAAACACCAATAATGAGAGAGAGTCATTGATTGGCTGCCTCTTGGCTGACTACTGTATGCATCGAGCCCACAACCTGGGCATGTGCCCTGACTGGGAATCGAACTGTGACCTTTCGGTTCATAGGTCGATGTTCAACCACTGAATCACGCTGGCTGGGCATGGCTTTTTACTTTATAACAATTCCTTAAGCTTGCATTTTCTGGTATATGTGTTGTTTTTCACAGTTTAAAAGTTGTGTCTGTGTGTTTTTAGAAAGATTAAGAGTCAGGATTTTCTGAAGGAAGATACTGTTGACTAGTCGACACAAACATTCTTTAACTGTGATATATGCTGTGACCATCCGAACCTGCACTTGGCAGGCCACTCTGGTGGAGGACAATTAAGACTGAATGATAAGGAGGAGAGAGAAGGAGAGCGACCCAACCAATGAGTCATGAAGCTGTTTACATACTTATCTGCTTAGCCTTTTCAAAGACTTGGGGCAGCAGGAATCAGGAAAGAATCATTCCAGTGTAAGGGTGCAGGATAGATAATCTATTAAAATAAATTAGTGTCAGATAGTCTGGAGTCAAAACTTGTTCAAGCCTGAGAGAGCTATATCACTGAGCAGAATAATCCCTCCTTCTAGGGCTGTGAGGAGGAGCAAATCAGCTAACTTGTAAAGTTCTTGACACCTGTAGATAACACCTGGTAGGAATATTATCCTCATTTTACTCAAGAAGACACAGGGCCTGGATGGGGTTGGGACTTGCCCAAGGGTCACCCAGCTAGCAAAGGAGGACTAGAGAATCAAACTGGGCGTTTCTCAGAGCCCATGGCTCTCCACCCCCACCTCCTGTTGTAAGGGACGTGCTGTGGAAGCTCAGGGGAGGGAGCAGTTACCTGGGCTGGTGGGAAGGCATGTCCCAGAGGATGTGACACTTGAGATGACCCTCAAAGGAGAAGAGGCATGCTAGGCAGACGAGTGAGCTCTGAGCATCCTGGAAGGTGTGAAACTTCATAGAATCACAGGAGAACGGAGGGCAAACAATGGGGTCACTGAACTTCCCCAAGTGTCAGGTTCTACATGCATGGAATGAAGGTAAAAATAACTGCCCCACTTACTTCAAAGTGTTAGTCCAAGGAGGGAAGCAAAGTATGTTTGCAAAGTATGTTTACAAATTGTTCAGTGTTATACATGGGTAACTTGGAAAAGTGAAAACTTGGCTTACATCTGAGGGTAAAAGAGGAAACCATGGCCTTGCCTTTTGTCCTATAGAGACCACTCCCAAACTTGGGACATGGGAGAATAAAGGGCAATTCCTAGGAATGCTAACCTGGAAGATACTCAGCACATCCAATCAAACCTAGGATATATATAAAATGTTAGGTTATTATTATTAAGTATGGAATTGTTAATATGAACTCTAGGATGTCCAGGATCTGCTGGGAAAACTCCATGAACAGAGGACGGACTTTCATTAGCAAAATCATTCACATCCTTCTGGCATCTTGTGATCCTCTGAAAACATCAATATCTAATACTTTCTCTGTGCTTACTATGTGTCAGATACTTTCATAAATTACTATTACATTAATAATCATTATAAAAATACTGTGGAGAGAAACCAAGATGGCGGCATAGGTAAACACTGGAGATTGCCTCGAACAACCACTTCAAAAATACAACTAAAAGACGGAACGGACATCATCCAGAACCACAGGAAGGCTGGCTGAGTGGAAATTCTACAACTAGAAGGAAAGAGAAAAGCATACCGAGACTCAGAGGAGGTGCGGTGCGGAAGTAAAATACAAAGGTGCGGAG